TCTCAGAAAAATTCTTCAAAGCATTCATCAWAATTTGGCCAAATGCAGTGATCACAAATTTTACAACCAATGCKCAGTAGGCCCCTATATTTTACTACAGTACTTTACAGGTTAATCATCAGTTTTGATGCTGTTTTTCTTAATGCCACTCTCAACACTGCATGTGGAATCAGCATTAATCCCCAAGTAAACAACTAAACACTTCCATGAATTGATAATGTGCTACTGTATAGAAATTCTAAAAATACCTCCTACTTTCTGATAAAGATCAACATTTTCACAACTTCTGAAACTAGTTTACCACACATTTTATCTTTTGGATTTATTTTCCTCAAATGTTAAGGATTGTTTTAACTCCCCTGTCCTTCCTCCACTTGAAAAAAACAAGATTTGTCATCWGTACTTCTCACCTACACCCATGCATCCATTCCTCAGCAGTATCCTCTGAGCATTAGACCTGTGGAAATGTAGTTACAAGATGCTTAAAAAAACTGAAGGTGGTTTTAAAGGTCTGAAGCAGTGTCTGAATCACTTGGAGATGGCCTTGATACCATTACCAAYTATGTGACAGACTACATCAGATTTTGTGTGGAGCATATCTTCCAGGACAGTGTGCTTTTCCTAAAAAATAAAAAATAAAAATCTGTATTACCACTGACTTGAAGGAGCTGCTGAACAAGAAGAAGAAAGCCTTCAGGGAAGTAGACAGAATTATTGAGGTGTGCAGAGACAGCTATGAGACAGACTAAAAGAGGTGTACAGGAAAAAGGTGAAGAGCAAATTCTAACAGAATAATGTTTGGGTTGGGTGGTCAGGGATAAAAAAAAAATAGAGCAATCTCCTCACCTGTATCTAAGCACAAAAACCTCACGTCATTGCTAGACCCACAGCTTAWCTTTAACTTTTCATAGTCTCACAAAGCCTAAGAAGCATTTTACCCCACACTAGAACACACTAAAACCCTTCCCTTCCTTCTCCAACAATCATGTGAAGACAGAGTTAAAGAGGGTGAACTTGAACAATGTTGAACATCCAGATGATGTCAGCCTCATCATGTTAAAACCAGTGTGAAATATGTGTTATAACCACAGAAACCTTTCTCAGTAATCAAAGATTTTAGGTTGTCCCTTCCTTTGCTGCTTTCATTATGACCACAGGAACCAATAACTAAACTAGTTTACAGGAGACAAATTTCACTCTTAAAATGGTCCTGATAGAGAGATAAAAAGTCAAATTACCCTGAACCCTAAACTCTTGATTACTGGATTGAAGGTTTAAAGTGCAAATAAATACAATTATAAACATTAGAAATGTTGGACATAAGATGATTTACATTTATAAAACTAGCAACAGCATGTGTTTTTGCTGTAAAGGACAGTTTTTTCTGGACAAGGAACTAACTAACTTAATTATAAATCACAAAAAACATGTTCACAAAGCTAAACATGTCAACATCTATCTACATTTACTTCTGAAGCCAACTCTTATATTGTCACAGATCACAAAAAAAAAACTTTTCTCCATCCACTCCTCTCCTTCAGCCTTGAAAAATAGTTTGAGATATTCAGGTTTCGAATAGTATTGGTTAACCTCAGTCAGCCCATGGTTCCTGTGTTGAAAAAGACATGCCTGTCTTTTTTAGTACCAGAAAAATCTCATCCATCTGCCCTGAATTACAAATAAACCAATTGCTAAAACTTCCTAAATCATAAAGGTTCCAGGGAAGCTGTTATGTCTCATTCAAGTAAGCTCTTAAGCACCTCACTGCAGGTTGCTTAACTTCTTTCCTGGTCAACATCTGCTTGTTTCAACATGCACACTTCAATATTCACAATGCATGGAGTGCTGTTAGGATCATGTTGTTTGATTTCCACTGTATGTTTAACACAATTTAGCTGCAAAGCTTAAGAAAAACCTCCAGAAAATACAAGTTGATCCTCCACAGATGCCTGGATTATTGACTACCTGCCAGGTGAACTACAGTTTAAAAGACACAAAGGTTATGTGTCTAACAGGCGGTCAGAAACCCAGGAGCACTTTAGAGGAAATAAATCTTACCATTTTATTTTGATACAAACCTCAGACCTTTGTGCAATTCAGTCTTTTTATCTGCAAAAATACTCCGCAGACTCTGCGTTTGTGGAGTGTTATGTGGTGTCTGAGGAGGCAGGGTACAAAAAGGTGGAGGGGTGCTTTACAGCATGGTGTGCAAACATCCACCTTGTCTTAAATCTAAACAAAGCAAATGAGCTGATTATGGATTTTAGAAAGTCTATTAAGCCAGACTTTGTTTCCATCTTGGGAAAAGACTTTTTGGTGTTTACCTAGACAATTGACCAAAGTACAATATAATTTGCATTTGTTTGTTGAGGCAGCAGTTGATTAAAAATGTTTATTTGCTAGAGACATCTTTGTAGCCCCTAGAGCTGATCTGCTAAGACTAAATGAATGCATGTAAAAGATAGAACTGGAAATGAAGCAACTAAAGTATGAGATGGCAACTCTTGGCAGTGTCCAGTGAGGGGTGTAAAGGGCAGTGTGCCTCTAATGCAGATTCAGAGCACACCGGCAGAGTGACTAATGACCTACAGTACTCTCAATTATTATCACTGCCACACATTCACACACAGAGACTCACACAAACCCCATATGATTCACTCTTGTTTAAGCTTTGTAGATGTATGACTCAGCCACAGCTTTCTTTCTCCATCTCAATTTCCCAAGACCCTTAGACTCTAGTTCTAAATGAGAACATCAGCACTCTGGGAAATAGGTTTGTCCCCCAGAAAAGCTGCCCCTGTGCAGCGCAAATTAGCTTTATGCCCTGCCACAATCAATGTGAAAGTGGGTCTCATTAATTCCTAGGGTCATATCTTTCATCAGACTGCAGCCTTATATCATGCAGACACAACCCTCCTTTATGCTTTCACGTTATTTTGAAACAAAATATTTGTAAGATCCTTCAGCATCAGTTAAGGAACAGGCATGACCTGGTCACCAGTGAGCATGTCCTGTTTTCATTCTGCAATAAAAATGTACTTTTTTGGTAGTCTTTTTGTAGCATTAGCTTTATTACTGGCAACGCTTGCTTGAAACAAATATTTAATACATCTTTGTGTTTAATATGTATACATGCCCATGCAATGTAAATCAAACTATTTTTTCTCCAGAGATTAAAGATTCATTTCACAGACCTCTCCTCACAAAAGTACTCTTATTAATCTTTTCTATCCATAATTGCTTGCAGTAAAAATGATAATTTCTTCATAAAACTGAGTAATTAAATTCTGATCCTCACTTGGTTTAAATGGAAACTTACAGCAAGTGAATTAAATTCAAGTCCTAATCACAAATATTAGACAAGGAAAGTCAAATTGGCTTGGATGGAATGGCAGCTTTATATTTGTGCTGCCAGGCTTGGCCCTCGAGATCGAGCCTCCAGTCTGGGCGCCTTCTAGACAGGCTGCCTCCAGAATATCCCTGCAGCCCCAGGAGAGCCTTCTATCCTGCTGCGTCTGCTCTTCTTGCTCCTCACACACATCCATCCTGCCCGGTCGGCCTGTCAAACCCTGGGTCTCCTCCAACCCTTCTACCTCTCTTCGTTGTCCCCACCCCACTCCCTCCACCTCTTCCCCATCTCTTCCTCCGCTCCACTGGGCTTGTGAAGGTGAGCCAGTCCCCGGTGGCGCCACTGTACAGATTGCAATGCTTCCTCCTCAAATGGTGGCTGCTCTCTTGTGAATACACTCATTTAAAAGAGTGGCTGGGTTGTTCCTCATCTTTGTCTTACTTCATCTTTTGTTTTGCTTTTTCTATCTATTAGAACACACTTCTTACATGCCCTTATTATTTAGTCTATCAGGCTGTCAGGTCAACTGGGGGAAGCTCAGGCTGCTGGGAGTGTTGCCTAATAGCAAGGCTAATGAAACATAAGCACCCCCAGAGGTTTTAGACCAGCTTAGTGACAGCTGTCATCCAATCACTTGTCCTTTAAAGCTCTTTTATAAGAAAGATGTAAGAGGAGCAATGACAAAAAAAGATTAAAAATGTTTCAGAAATGCTGTTACAAATCTTATAAGTCTTATAAGTCTGTTATATCTGCAAGATTTTCACCTGTCACTGTAATTTTGTTGAATTTATCTTGAATAGTTTTTTTAAGAATGAATGTAAAAATAACCCAAGACATGAAAATATTGTTAGTTACCCAAGGGTTTTAACTTTTTTGTACAACTTTTAACAGTTTTGAAACCTAATTAATGATGTCAGACTCCAAAAGTTATTTTAATTTTGCTGACTGTCTTTGGCTAAGATTCACAGGATTTTGTGTGAATGAAATTCATTCAACAGTTGCTTATTTAGATTTTCATGATGACAAAATCCTCAGATTTCCAATTGTGTACACTGCAAAAAATGTCCACCTAACCAAGTTTTAAAATCTTATATCCAGCCAAAAAGTCCTTTTGATCTTGTTTTGAGACTGACTTACTAAAAAAGAACTGATTGTGTAAGAATAATAATCTTGTTTTCAGAATATGTAAGATTATTTGTCTTGTTAGTCTGAATGTATGACTCAAATTAAGTCAAAAATTTATTCCAATCGAGTAAGAAAATTGTACTTGGTAAGATTCTTAAAATATTTGATTTGACTCAATTTTTTCTTATTTCAAGAATCTTACAAAGTAAAATTTTCTTACTCCATTGGCAGAAATTTTTGACTTAATTTGAGTCAAATTTTCAGACTAACAAGARAAATAATCTTACACATTCTGAAAACAAGATGATGATTCTTACACAATCAATTCTTGTTTAGTAAATCAGTCTCAAAACAAGATCAAAAAGACTTTTTGGCTGGATATAAAATTTCAAAACTTGGTAAGATGAACAGTTTTTGCAGTGTATATCGGTTTTTTAATATAAACTTGGTTTTTGGTGAGCTGCACTACCCCACTGTCCTGTTYTTGCAGGTTGTTTCACTGCCTCTCCCGTTTGTCTTTCTCCAGGTTTTTGGAGATTATTATCACTTCAGGCACTATGCTGTGGAGAAGAGGGCATTGTCAGGCCACAATGGGATGCACATCAAACTGCAAAAAGAACCACAGGTAAGACTGCTGTCAGCTCTGACACAACACACTGTGGCACTCCTTGTTGGCAACAAAGGGACAAAAGACAGATTGAATAGCACAGCTTCTGTGTATAAATCACTAGAGATAATGGGATGGCAGCATTAATGACAGCTTGTCAAACTCTGTTTACTTAGACAGACAAATGTGGATTTTAATTTGTCCCCCTAACCCAACCAACGATACCACTTAAAATAATATTTGATATTAATCACAATAAAGGTAAAAAAAAAACAAGATTTGTTGTTTAAATTATAAGTGCAATCTCTGGACATTTGATTTTATGTAACTCTGAAAATGTTCACGCTCTGCACACCAGATGTTGTTCAGAAAGTGCAAAAGTGCCATGTAGAGCAATGATTTTTTTTCCTACCAGGGGTTTGAAGACAAAACAATTTATTTTGTATCTGAGTTGTTGTTGAGCAAAAGGGCAAGTCTGGTTATTCTCATCAATTCCCAGCAGCCTATGTTGATTCTATTGCTCTAGCTATAGAGGATTAAAGTTCAAAATATTAAAAATATGCTCTTGTCCTTTTGTACTTCATTCCATTCACAAAAGATCCTAAACTTATCTTTTCATGTAATATTTAATTTGGATGTGCATTTGAATCTCATTTTAAATACAAGAAAACTATGAAAACATACAAATACATTAAATAATGCCTATTTGTTCTTAGTATTCATCTAGTCTTCTTTTACATTGCAGTTGAAATTATTTGATTTATAATTATTGGATTATTGACTTTGGAAATGTTGGATTCATCAGTTTCTTACACTCTAAAATGTATGAGTCTAGGAACTTACTTGTCACCACTTTAAATTGTTCTTATGGCACCGATGCACTTCATAAAGCTGCAACCTAATCTGAAAGCACAATATGCATCTCTAGCCTCTAGGTCAAACCACATTAAAGAGGAAACAATGGTTGAGAAAGCAATATAATGAAATTTTCTAAAGAAAGTCTTCATTAAAAATGGCTATTAAATTTGAACTTTATCCATTACTACACCACTGTCCTATTTAGCCAGCAGGAGATTTGTCAGATATTAACAGAGACCTTAATAAGAAAAAAATGTTTATTTCAAAAGCTCTCGTGATGTAGATATTCTTATAGGCAATTCAGTATGAGTGTTTTTCAGTGATTAAATCAGTTGCAAATGTGCTGGATATTTTTTCCTTATTTCCTCCACCCACACCCCCAATAATAATAATAATAATAATAATAATAATAATAATAATAGTAATAATATTAATAACATTAACACATGAACATTTCTTGTTCCTCTTATAATCCAAGTTAGCCAAAATATGAAAACTGGTCATTTTCCTTTTCCATGCAACTCAACTGGATCCCTTCACGTGTGACTCTCTTCATCACAAGCTGCAGAGCTTGTGATGTTTGTAACATCACATTTTTCATTGAGCTTGTTTGTAACATGATAGAATCATCCATGCATGAACCAGCTGGAACCAAACTTACTGGATAGACAGGTTCATGCCCAAGCTGAATCTAAATGAGAGATGTAAAATTGATCTGAGGTGTTTGCTTAAACTGAACTTATTTTGCATACTTACATTTCTTAGAAAATTATCTATAAAAATTTGTCTTCTCTGAAATTTGCACTTTGCTAATCTGACAATCAGAATGATTGTTTTACAAAATAATCTGTGCAAGCTAACAGAGCCACAGTAATAACCACTGTTGTTCATTTTGATACATCAGCTCTACTTAACCTACAATGTTGAACAACTTTATTATAATTGTCTTCAATCTATCAATTTAGAGTCATGAATATTTTTATTAGGTTTGGCCCGAATCTTACTTTTTGACAACCTGTGAATGGAATGTAAATCTAGTGACACAAGGTATGCCATGATAATTTTTTTATTTTAATGTTTGTGAATGTAGTAGTTCAAAACAGGGCAGGTAATAGCCAATGCTGGTAATATATTTTAAATTTAAAGGCATTTAAGAAACAAGTAATGTAAATCAGTTTCCATTAGAATTATATATTTAGTCAGCTCAATTGCTTTGCCATGAGCACCTTTTTGTTTAAAAGCTCAAATTTAATTTATTAGTCTTCAGAGATGCAGATCATAAGTGTTTTTACCTTGTCAAATCCTAGTGCTTTTTTTATTTTGAAAATAATAATGTAGCTCAGAGCCAACTGCATACCAGCTGCCCCAGCCTCCACTTCCAAACATAGCAGGAAATAAAAACAGGAAACTAGCAAACAGCAGTTCAAGAGCTCATACTTTGGCCATTGTGTTGAGATGCAACCTGATTTAAACATGACAAAAATGTTCTTGACATTTTTCTTCACTAATAAAAATGGGCATATACTAAATTAGAAATGGTTTAAATCAAAAGATTACATCTAAATATTTGTGRGCAAGGTTTCCATATTGTTTACAATGAAACTGAAATTTAAATTTGCAATACAGTTCTAGAGAAAACTAGAGAAAATAGAACAAAAAATGGCAAAACAGAACTGAGTAAAATGATAAGCTGAAAATGTCACTGTTTTAATGAATGGTTTTAAGTTACTTTTACTGCATTCTTATCTGTTGAATGGAAAATGTATTTGTGCACAGGTGCACGACAACAAAAACACCAGAAGAAGAAATAAAGCAAATAGACTAAAGAGAAACAATGTAGTCAGACTGGCTGTTAATATGTCCTCGCACCACGGTCCCTGCAGGCTCTAGCAAGGCCYGCAAGCTCTATGTGGGCCACATGCAAACAAAGGAGGAGAAAGCAGCGGGGTCCAAGATGCACAAAACAACCCCACCCCTGCATGAAGCTTCGACCTAGACAGGCTGCTGTCAGTGTGCTGCGCCTGCCCTGTTRCACTGTATATATAAATATGTTAATAATTCTTTCTTGTCAGTACTGAAATAATGTGGAGCATAAAAAACTTGACGTGCTCAGTGTCAGTTAAATTTATACTTTGTTTATTTAAACCGAGGTATTTTTTGCCAATAGGTGATATGTAACACCCCCCTATGCCTTGTTGCCTAAAAATCTAAACGGATTCCAGAAAATTCCCAAACCCCTCTACCCTGCATTCAGCACTATTAGCTCGCGTGCACATATCTGCTTCAGACACTCCTAATTTTCAGGATTTCTGCCAGMATACTGCCTCCATCACGCTGCTGCCATGTTTGCAATTTTAAAAAATGTGGTATTAAAGCTCTTMTAAAAGGTGCTCAAATAAGAAAAAGAGGTGGTTAGAAAATGAGAACAAAGTCATTCCCTTTGTTGCTAAATGGATATCCCATTTGAGGCTCACAGGTTTTTCTTTTAAAATGAATTTAAAAAAAGGTAAGGAAAGGACAGATGCAGGCTGACACATGCCAAGTCTAAATCTTGTAAGTAAGATATTGTGATGTTCTCTGAGGCCTGTAATGTGAAAGGCTGAGGTGAAATGGGCATTTACAAATCCTAATTAGCTTGATGATTAAAAGATTTCCATCTGGGGGCTGGGAGAGTGCCCTAGGAGTATGATTATGTTATTTGTTTTAAAGGAAAAAAATCTAAAAGGAGAAATCAATGAGCTTTAGCAAGGGCAGTGACAGATCCAATGGTTTTGTCATTGTCACTAGAGAGGGATTAATGATGTGCAATACTGGGTCATAGATCGATGTGCAGCGGTGAAGCACAAAATTCAGAATGAACTGGACAAAATTACTACTGAAATGAGAAATTCAATGGAAATTGTAAGTCTTTCTGGGTCTAGTCACTATCTGTCAAGGACCAAAATTATTAAAATGGACAGTAAAATTCTCTGTTTGCTCCATATATTTGAATTCAGAATAACCAAATGAAAGCATCTTGGAGRGGGAAGTGGAGCCCACAAAAGAGGCAAACACTGTAAATATTGTCTGATATGAAGATATTTTAACAGAGGAGATTCCATCTAACTGGTTCAAAGGAAGTCAATAGTTCAAGTTAACTAAGCATTTGAACCGTCAGCTGTGTGTGTCATTGGGTCTCTGGCTGAGAAGCTACAGCTTTTACCAAAGTTACCTCCCCACCCACACAACAAAAAGCAGAGAAAACCTCAGGCAAAACTCATCCTCTGCCAAAGAATAAAAGAAATATATTGGGAAAAAAACACTGTGATAAAGGTATATACTTAAATGCGACTTTATATTCGTTTGGGTACAAGACTATCTGATCCAATGAAAATATAAAGAAAATGTTGTGCTTCACCAGGTTAAAAACAGATATTTAAAAGATAATAAAAAGCAGAATGGTTGATTTGAATTAGTCACTGCTGAGCTCTAAGCTCGTTACAGTGCTTCCCCATCCTAATCCAGCTTCATCATTTCACACAACCTCCATTGTTCCATTTCCTCTGCTCCATGGCTCTAACATGCAGCTTATCGCCATCCCTTTTTGAATAATCACACAGTGGCAAGATGACATTGGAGGTTGCATAAGCTTCTACCATTATGCTTCCAAGGGTTGTTTGTCATCATTCCTCCACACCCCCGTCTGCTCTATGAGGAAAAGAATTGATTTGTTTTGGGTTGGCTGCTGTTCGCTTTGCATAAAATGCAGTCTGGGACAGTTTGCTGCATTCATGTTTTAAAGGYACTGTACGTTAGATCTTTTGCTTTCCATTTTATTGTCTTCAGTCCTCTGTAACCTCTGCAACAGTTTGTATCRGCTCTAAGAGTATATTTTTATTTGCGGCATGAGCCCATAGTGGATATGGCTGGTAATTTTCTAAATTTGTTATTGCCAGCAAATCTAATAGAGAAACCACAACCAGTAACAGATTGGTTCATCTCTCAGTGCGCTCAGACTTGCTAAGCTTTTCTGTGGCATTCAGCCCTCAGATCCACTGGTTACTATCAAAGTAAATACATTAATTTGATTCGCTGGAGGAACTGGTTAAAAAAAATCTCTGATCATAATTATTGGTGTTTTTGAATTGTGTGTTAAGAATATTGTAAAAGAATGTTCAGAGCTGGGGAACAAAAGACCCTATTGTTTGTAGTAAAAAGACATTCTGATACTGTAAATGTATGCTGTGCACAACAATCTTTCTTTTTTCTGTTGTCTTGATGAATTTAAATTAGCTTCACATAATAAAGGAGCAAGTGGACTCATCTGAGTTTAATTTGCAGTGTTCAAATGAACTCGTTTAACCAACAAATGGGTGATTTATTTCACAAAGGGAGCAGATTGGATCCAAATTCTGTTTTGTAATTACCAATGTTAGAGGGAGATGCTTTAGCTCAGTGGTCAGTGCCACAGTCTAGTAAACCTGGGGCTAGATGTTTGATCCCAGGTTGCTTAAGGAAGGACATCCAGCATTTGCCAAGTCAAAAATGAAAAATAATAATCAGATTGTAGTAATATCAAGATGTTTTAAAGTCTTAAACTTGTCAACATGTTTCTATAAAAATGATCTTATGATAAAATGTACAGAATATATAGAAATAAAGTGAATTTGTGAAAGTAAAAAAATAGARTAATAACACCAAACACAAAAAACATTTTAAGCATGGATTGAATAAATCTGAACAGGGATTTGCAAATGAGGATGGCAACACTATTAATATGCTCACAAAATGTAGTGAGTCATTTTGTTTATACTGTAGGTGATTAAAAGAGGCTAATATATATATA